AAGAACATCATGTCTAAGAGAGGTCGGGGAGAGAGCAAGACCATGATGCAGAGAGAGCAGCATCTCACCTCTGGGGAAAGATGCCCCACACCCCCTCCCTTTGTCACCCTGAAACCTTCTTGCTTTCTATCCTTTCATCCAGCACTCATTTCCCTCAAATCTACTCTTTGGTCACATCTTATCCTCACTGCCTTTACTCTTCTACAGAGAATGCTTCTCAATGGGAGCCTCCTTTCATTGTCCAGACTGGTCTTGAACTCCTGGGTCAAGTCACCCCCCCTTCCTCAACCCGGTAGCTGGGAACACAGGCCTGTGACCAGGAAGACTTTTGTATTCTAATTAAACCATGCTTGGCCCTGCCCTGTCGTCTCTTTCACTCCTCATCGCTAATCCTCCCTTTGTGTGCCTGTGTCTTTTTAAGTACCGTGGGCTCACCCTCTCTTTTGAATTCCATGCATACATAACTGGGAGAAGGCGCCATTCTAAGTCAGGGACGTTCTTCATACATGCACGCGCAGGCACACACGGACATTTCCCTCTGTATAGTTTTGCAAACAACTCACTGTCTACAGTGCTCCGCTCTGTCCACTGCGTCCTCTGGCTGCCGAATGTGTCTGTCCTTCTCACGGTTTCCCGCTGTTCCACTTGGGCTGGGGAATAAGATGAACACAGCCACACCCTTGGAAGGACTTCAGATTTGGCCTATTCTGAAACAATGACACGAGGGAGAGCAAGGGGAGAGAGAGAGAACAGGCCAGGCCAGAGGCTTAGAAAGCAGCGTTACAATAAGGTTGGAATGAGAAGGCAGAAGGGAATTTGCAGTCACTCACACCCTCATTCCAAACGTTATGACCACACTGGAGAGGAAGCTCGGTGCTCCCTCGAAGGGCTGGCCCAAGCCCACATCTGCCCTCTTTCCATCAGCCTACTTTCTCTCTCGTTGTTTGGCCTAGCTTGCCTTTCTTCCTTGGGTTCCTGTTTATCGCTCTCTCTTGGCGTGTTTTCCTGAACCTCACTAGACTGTTTCTATCTCTCTGGCTTCCTTCTGACTTTGGATCACTACTCCTTTCTCTCTTCTCTCCTCCTCTTTTCTTCTCGCCCCTCTTCTGCTTTCCTCTCCTCTCCCCTTCTCTCCACTCCCTTGTTTGAGTAGTGGTGGTGTGGGGGGGAGTTGTCCAGGTTGACCAGGCCGACTGCAAACTCTCGGCGCTCCCTGTGTAAGGCAGGATGAGCTTAAATTAAATGTCTCTTCCTCCAGCCCCCACCTCCCATGTGTGTGCCACTATGCCTAGTTTGTGAAGTGCTGGGGATCAAACCCAGGGCTTCCAAACATGCTCGACAAGCATTCCACTGAGTTACATTCCCAGCCCCTGTCTTCTCGGTTGACCTGGAACAAAGTGGCAACCAAGCCAGCCTCCAACTTGTGGCTATCCTCCTACCTGAGCCTTCCAAGTACTGGAATTTACAGGCTAAATTACATGTAGTGCAAACAGACAGGGTTTTTCGAGACAGGGTTTCTCTGTGTAGCTTTGGAGCCTATCCTGGCAGTCGCTCTGGAGACCAGGCTGGCCTCGCACTCACAGAGATCTGCCTGCCTCTGCCTCCCGAGTGCTGGGATTAAAGGCGTGAGCCACCAACCAGCGTGTTGATCTGGGTGGCGGTGGCTGGCACAAGCCTTTAATCCCAGTACTTGGGAGGTGGAGGCAGGGGGATCTTGGTGAGTTTGAGGCCAGCTTGGTCTACAAAAGCTAGTTCCAGGACAGCCAGGGCTGTTGTTACACAGAGAAACCCTGTCTCAAAAAACCAAAGGAAAGAAGGAAGGGAGGGAGGGAGGGGAAAAAATCTATCTAAGGTGAATAAAAAGGTCTCTTACTGAAGTACTTTCTCTGGCACCGTTCTCTGTCTCTGGTCTTGACAGGGCCCTTCTCTGTCTCTTGCATCTCTTGCTCTTTGCCTTGCCCTCCCACTGGGATCATCAACACATCTTGCTCACCTCCCATGTACAATGCTCTTCCTTCAGCCCCAACATAGGCAGGTCTGTTTCCCTCCTGCTTCCTAGTAATCTTCACCATCTGACTCCCCTTTGTCCAGGGGTTCTTGCTGCTCCTTTATGTTTTTTTGTTTGTTTGTTTAGTTTTGTCTTTTGTTGTTTCCATCCCTTTTTACCCATAAACCCTTGTTAGCACTCTGAACGCCACTTTTCCATCCCTTAGCTGTAGGTTACCTCTGTTTTCATTTCTGGCTTTGCCCAGTTGCTTTTGTTTGCTTGCTTGTTTTGTTTTTTTCAAGACAAAGGGTTTTTCTGTGTAGCCCTGGCTCTCCTGGAACTAGCTTTTGTAGACTAGGCTGGCCTCAAACTCACTGAGATCTGCCTGCCTCTGCCTCCCGTAGTGCTGGGATTAAGCATTTTCTTTAAAAAGGCCTATTCCCCCTGCCCCTCTGCAAAGCCTTCCCTTTTCATTTCACTGTAACCTGAGAGGAGTGTAAATCTCCACATGTCACATGAAAACTTCAGGAAGCAACGACCTTTCCTTCAGGAGAGCCAGCGTGTTTAGCTTAGCCTGGCTTCCCTTTCTTTCCTCACCGAGCTCTGTCAGGTCTGTGTCTTTGTGCCTCTGGCCAGGGGACTCTACAAACTTCTTTGCAGACTAGATGACATCAGACACAGAAATTTATTTTATTTTTGAGACAGGGTCTCTCTGTGTAGCTCTGGCTGTCCTGGATGTGCTATGTCAGAGGTTCCCAACCTGTGGGTCACGACGCCTTTGGGAGTTGAATGACCCTTTTATAGGGGTGGCTAAGACCATCAGAAAACAGATATTTACATTACAGTTCATAATAGCAAAACCACAGTTATGAAGTAGCAATGAAAATGATTTTGGCTGGGCGGTGGTGGCGCCCGCCTTTAACACTCGGGAGGCAGAGGCAGACGGTTCTCTGTGAGTTCGAGACCAGCCTGGCCTACAAGAGCTAGTTCCAGGACAGCCTCCAAAGCCACAGAGAAACTCTGTCTCGAAAAACCAATAATAATAATAATAATAATAATAATAATAATAATAATAATAATAATTTTATGGTTGGGAGTCACCACGGCATGAAGAACTGTATTTAGGGGTTGCCGAAACAGGATGGTTGAGAACCACTGCTCTATGTAGACCCAACTATCTTTGAACTCATAGAGATCCTCCTGCCTCTGCTTCCCAAGTGCTGGGACTAAAGGTGTGCATCCCAGGGACAGCCCAGCAAATATTGATCTCTTACATGCTCTGTGCAATGTTCGTCTTAACTGACTACTGGTATTTGTTCTTTATCGTCCAGCTGGTTTTTTTTTTTTTTTATGTCTTCAAGGCTGTATCAGTTGGGAAGTCTCTAATATACACAGTTTTTGTACACATTTTTATGCTTATCAGCCTTGTCAGGGAGGGCTCTGCTCAGGTCTTGATTTTAGTTGTTCCACTGACCTCCACGAGTTTTGCCTTCAATTTGCTCAGTGCTTGTGTGAGAGCCAAGTTACACTTTAAATTTTAATTACTATGCCTTAGAGATCCATGAAACCAAAATGCTGGTGATCTGCAAGCCCCTTGCCCAAGCACAGATCGTTCCTGAAATGCTGGAGGCTGCTGCTTATGGGAGACAACAAGCCACATGTTTTCACTCCCCTAAACAAGTTTGTTTGGCCCATCTGCACTGACTGTGTTTGATCACATGGGGGTGGGATGTACAGAGGCAGGAATATGTCAGGATGTATGCTTGCCCCTGATTGGATGTAGCTGGATGCACATCAGGATGTTTGCCTGACCCTGATTGGACCTGATGGGAAATCAATAAATTATGGGTTTTCTTTTTTAAGCTGCTACAAACCATGACTGAAGGCCATTTCCCAGGAACCTGGGTGTGGACCTGGCCAGAGCTCATCCACCTGGCCAGTATTTAATTAAAGCTTGCTTCACATTTGTCTTTAAACTGTGGTAGTGGTTTTATTCTGGACTGGTGGGATTAACACTTGTATGATTAAAGTCTTTGTCAGACCGTATAGTCTCGCCTGTTAATTTTAGCATGATTTCCAAAAGTACACATCCTTCCTCCAATTTGATCTGTTCTTTTAAAAATTTGTCCCTTGACAAATTGAAGTTTCCAAAACAATACTCAGTTTGATGACAGATTTTGGCCTGTAGAGCAGGCACTTTGATTGTGGCTGTCTGTAAAATTTCTCACACTCAAATGATCTGCCTCCATGGATGCACATGTACTTTCAAGTGCCTGCCTTAGGACCAGCTAATGTTTGTCTTCGTTTCTTTGTTTTTCTTATGTATTGACTGATCTTTGGTTTTGTTTTTGAGATAGGATTTCTCTGTGTAGCCCTTGCTGTCCTGAAGCTCATTCTATAGACCAGGCTGACCTGGAACTCCAAGATCCTCCTGCCTCTGCCTCCCGAGTGCTGGGACTAAAGGCGTGCGCCACCACCGCCGGGCTGTTTTTTTCTTTAAGATAGTGTATGAGTATATGTAGCCCTGGCTGGCCAGGAACTCTGTAGAGATTCACCTGCTCCAGCTTCCCGAATGCTGGGGATTACAGCATGCCCAACCAGACACAACTCCCGAGTTCAGTTTTGCCACTTTCTTAGCTTTGCCCCATTGGAATATCTACCTAGTCTCACATCCAAGGACAGAGATATCACTTGAGGTCTGCCTGAGAGAATGGATGGGTGCTTTGAGTTATAAAAAGTTGAGGCACGGGGCTGGAGAGATGGCTCAGTGGTTAAGAGCACTGGCTATTCTTTCAGAGTTCTTGAGTTCAATTCCCAGCAACTACATGGTGGCGCACAACCATTTTTAATGAGATCTGGCACCCTCTTCTTGCCTTCAGGCATATATGCAGACAGAACAATGTATGCAAAATAAATAAATAAAATAAAAATTTAAAAAGTTGAGGCATTTATTTACAAGTTTCCAGATCCTTTTTGAATATGGAGTAGCTCCATGAGAGAAGGCAGCAGCCAATACTGTCTTTGGCTTTGTAGGATTTTGTATGTTTGTTTCTGTTGTTATTTTTTGTTGTTTTTTTAAAAGACTTATTTATTATGTATACAGTATTCTTCCTGCACATATACCTATATGAAAGAAGAGGGCATCAGATCTCATTACAGATGGTTGTGAGCCACCATGTGGTTTCTGGGAATTGAACTCAGGACCTCTGGAAGAGCAGCCGGTGCTCTTAAACTCTGAGCCATCTCTCCTGCCCATTATTTATTTATTTTCTTTTGAGACTGGGCCTCACTATTGTATGTCTGCTAGCCTGAAACTTAGTCTTTTGGTTTTTTTGAACTGGGTTTCTCTGTGTAGCCCTGGAACTTGTTCTATAGACCTCTGGCCTCAAACTCAGAGATCTGCCACCTGTTTTTGGTCTTGTTTATGCTCATGTTTTGAATCTTGGATTTTGGAATACCAATGACAAAATGTCATAGGAAGCCCTCCAAAACTGAGAGGGAAGCTCACTCCCCTGGATTTCTTTTCTGCTCTTGCTTTCCCTGCAGCTCATGTAATATGCTGACAGCATGCTCTCTCGTCCAGTCATTTGAACAGATTTATATTTGCTCTCTGTGCTGGTTAGTGTTATGTCAGCTTGACACACGCTAGAGTCATTTGGAAAAGGGGGATTCTCAACTGAAAAAATAAGCCCCTAAGATCCACCCATAGGCAAGCCTGTGGTGTGTTTTCTTAATTAGTGATTGATGTGGGAGGGTCTAGCCTGTCTAGGATAGTGCCACACCTGGCCTGGTGGTCCTGGGCGAAATAAGAAAACAGACTGAGTGGTCCGGTAAGCAGGACTCCTGTATGGCTTCTGCATCAGCTCTCGCCTCCAGGGTCCTCCCTTGAGTTCCTGTCCTGACTTCCCTCAGCAATGGACTATTTATTACCTGAAGTGTTACCTGGAATAAGCCCTTTCTTCTCCCAGTTGCTTTTGGCCAT